AAGGGGGGCATGGGGTTTCATGGCTTTCTGAACATGTTTCAACTTGAAAGTGGAATAATATAAAATATTGCATTAATATTTAAACATTTTAAAATAAAAGCTTTCTTTTTCACAAGCCAGAAAAAACGTACATGGGCCATTAAACGCTGAGCCACTAACCTGAGGGTTGTAAGGTTGGACCTTGAATTATTGTTAATATGATTTCATGTCAACACCAGCAAAACACCTGTTTCCAGCAGCGTGCTCTTAACGTCACAAAGCCTTCCAAGCAGCCAGAGTGAAGGTCATTATTTTATGCTGTATCATTTTGTTTGATTGGAAATGGAAGTTGCTGGACTAGACGTGACTAAGATGGTTAATGGTTGCACTGTTTAATAAAGTTCAGGGACGCCATCGGCATCGCTCAGTGTAACCTCTGTAGCTCAGCAGAGGGAGGACAGACGACGTCACAGATGAACTTACTCTGTTTTCCACAGGTGTGTCTTGGCAGCTTTGTGAGGAACAATGGGGAAGAAGAAGGTTCCAGATTTGTACAGAGCCCCCTTCCCCTTGTACTCTGTGAAAGTGGACCCTGACACAGGGCTGGTGATCATAGCAGGAGGAGGGGGGGCCTCCAAGACGGGCATAAAGAACGCTGTGGTCAGTACTGAAGATGGGTGTTGTACAGTCGCTGTAGTGTTGCGGTGTCATTGTCCTGATAAGGCTCATTTATGTGATCTAATAACGTATACCAGGATGATCACAGACAGCAGGCGGTTTACATGCACACGAGTTCTTCTGTTCACTTGTGCTTTTCTTCTTGTATTTCTTGACTCTCTGGAAACAAACTGTAACAAAAATAGTGTTTTGAGTGTGTTTGGTGAGAGTATCCTGATACATGATGCACACTGAGTTTGTATCCATAGTACAACAGTAGCAGACTGATGTTTGTGTTTTACAGCACTTCCTGGATCTGCAGCTCGTTGGGGAATACCAGCACAGTGCCAGTCTCCTTCACTCCCATGATACTGACACACGTGCTACCATGAACATGGCTGTAGGTAAAGGTGTGATTGCTGCAGGACAGGATGGGACCTGCTGTCTGATGCAGTTTAAACAGTGCACGCAGAAAGAAGCCAAAGATGCTAATAAAGATGGTGAGGCACACTGCTACAAGCTAAATATGCTAAAATGACACCTCTTTATTGTGTCTGATTCAATTTAATGTTATATTTCCCAAACAGCAGCTACAGCACTGAGCACGAAGAAAAGGGGTTTATGGTCTGAGACAAAGACTGAACACCTTCTGTTCAAATAAAAAGTGTCCTCTGTGCTGCAGGGAAAAGCAAGCAGCAGGGTAACGCCAGGCTACGAGCTGGGAAAGGAGACAAGTGTGGACAGGATGGAGTTACACCATCTGGAAACATGTCAGATATGAAGGACGAGACGATTCACATCTCTGTGACCGCTTCAGCTGAAGTGCAGTCAGACCTGAACCCTCAGGATCCGCTTCAGAAAGTCGTCAGGTTCAGTCCTGACCAGAGCCTGCTGCTAACTGGAGGCACCGATGGGCACATCAGAGTCTGGGAGGTAAGACTCAATCGTTTCAGCCACAGCTGTTAAACATATACAGTTAGCTCCGCATAGACAGAGACGGTGTTTTCTTCTAATGTTGGTTCTGAACATTACCACAATGAAGAACACTTTCAGCCTTCATGCAGTGTGTGGAACAAAAAGATTGCATAAACTGAAGCATTTCTTTCAAAAACACAATGCCGTCACGTCAGCGGCTCAAAAGTAATAAATAAACTAATAAATAAAGTATTGATTTCAGGGCTCGCAAAATCGCTAGTCCGACGTCCCGGGGCTTTTTCCAGTCGGGTTACTAAAATCTATCTCAGCCCTGCCTGTCGGGCTATCATAGGAAGGTGCTTTTGCAAATGTAGCTGGGTAATTGTGTCATTAGCATCGATGAGCCTCTGTCAAAATGTGACGTATTGAAATCGCGTTTGACTTTGCGCTTGTTTGTTGCTTTCACTTTCATTTTGTGATCGCACAAACTGTATAAAGAGCGGCAGTACTGACTGGTGAGTGAAAAGCCGACCACAACGCCGAAAAGTTCTGACAAATCAGACTACGAGGCAAAAAGAAAGCGCATCTTTTTTGGTTTCATGGACAAAAGCATTTCTGTGGCTGGGATATGACAAGCGAAATAGCATCATGTTCTGCAGGGTGTGTCGTGAGTTTTTGAGTCGACAAGCGCCTTTGTTACTGGGACCAGTAATTTTAGGAAAGACCCCATCAGAACCCATGAGAAATCTCTGCATCACAAGAAATGCATTATTGCAAAAAACATACTAAAAATAAACCAAGCACAACAAGAAGTCCTGAAAAGCTGTTTAGAACTGCGTACCATGTTGCAAAGAGTGAACTACCACTGGCAAAATTTAGCCGTCTTTGCAAACTTCAGAAAGCAAACGGCCTCGATCTTGGTTCCACTTGCCTCAGTGACCATGCTCGCAGAGTTTATTGGAGCAGCAGCGCAAACTTCAAGACACCGGATTGAAAAGGAAATTCAAGAAAGCAGGTTCTTATCCATTCTTGCAGATGGCAGTACAGACACTGGTATAATAGAACAGGAGCTGGTTCACGTCAGGTATGTGAGGGATAATGGTGACGTAGCCACATACATGATCAAATGTCAGCCAGTCAAGAGTGCAAATGCTGCAGGTATTTTAGAGGCTTTTGATGAAGCAGCGAACACCATGGGTATCAGAGAAGATACGTGCAAAGAAAAAGTAGTGTGTGCAACTGTTGATGGCGCTGCAGTGATGATGGGGGAGAAAACAGGAGTAGCTGGGAGACTGAAACAGAGGATGCCCCACATCATAACAATCCACTGTGTGGCACACAAACTAGAGCTAGCCGTGCTGGATAGCGTGAAAGGCTGTGAGTACCTGGTGAAATTTGAAGATACACTGAAAACCATCTTTAAGATGTACTACTATTCCCCAAAGAAGCGAAGAGAGCTGACAGAGATAAGTGAACTGCTAAATGAGAGGCTGGCACCTTTCAGTGGGCTGAAGAGCACACGGTGACTCCAAGCCGGCGGAGATGACTAAAGGCTGTGGAAAAAAATTACACTCCCACTGATGTTCATATGGAGAACATGGCAGAAGGAAGTGATGTCAAAGCCGAGGATGCAGCCAAGGCTAAGGGGGTGGTGCAGGAGATGAAGACTGAGAAATTTGTTCGCTTCCTGCATTTCATGTTGGACTACAGTACCATCTTATCCAAGTGCTCTACTGATTTTCAGCATGATAACCTAAACATCACACGAACAAATCAGTTAGTTGAGAGCACAACATCACGCTTACTCAGCCTAAAAACAAAACCAGGAGAATATCAGAAAAGCTTGGACACAAAGTTCACAGCGAACCAGGATGGTAGCATTTGCTACTGTGGAACTCAGCTAACAAAAAGTCAGCGACCTGCTAGAAGAGGTGAGGGAACAGACAAAGACACCTTTGGTGCAGAGATCCAGAAGATTATTGACAACACAGTCAAGTACATGGACAACAGATTTAAAAATCTCCATGAAAAGCCTCTCTCTTGTTTCAAGGTTTTTGACCCTTCCACTCTTCCCTACCCCAGAGAAGAACTAGCAAATTATGGGGATGAAGAGGTGGATTATCTTGTCACACATTTTGCCTGTTTGCTAGATGCAGAAGAGAAAGAGAAAATTCCACAAGAATGGATGGATCTAAAAGTGTGGCTTGCAGAACGCCGGGGTCGCAAAGTAGATTGCTTGTACAGAGATCTCCTCTCTGAGATCCAGAACATCTCTCTCATATCTTGTTGCTGGTGAAATTAATGCTGACACTTAGTCCATCGACAGCCATCTGTGAGAGAGGATTTTCTTGCATGAACCGAGTGAAGACAACACATCGTACCTCTCTACACCCTGAAACACTGAATGACTGCATGCAACTCTCCATTAATGGGGAAACAGTTGAATCTTTTTGCCCTGACAAGTCGATTCGTTTCTGGATGTTTTCTGGAAAAGGTTCAAGACACCTGGATCATAAAACCCCGACAAGAACAAAGAGCAGTGAAATGGAGGGCAATGCACAGGAAGAGAAAGCTGATGAAGGAGATGCTATGCCCTCAACGTCGAGTGGCATTTTCTCATCCGTGACTTGAGTGGAAATGTCAGATCAGGATCTGACACAGGCTGATTCTTGTCCTACACAGTTCTTACAAGTTCACAGAAACTTCTGTTCAGTTAGAACCAAATATTTGAGTTGGTGATTGTAATTTATATACAGCTGTTGTAATTTTTGTTTTAACAATTTTTTGATTGATGTTTTGTTTCCTTTACAATATTATACAATAAAAATAATCTTTTTTTATTCGGGCTACTTAAATTTACTTTGGGCTACCAAAAACTGAAGAGTGACTGGCCGAAGGGCTAGCAGGGATTTAGAAACTTTGCGAGCCCTGGATCTCTAGTACTTGGTTGAGAACCCTTTGCTGGGAATGACAGCCTGGAGTCTTGAACTCAGGGACCTGAGCAGGTTTCCTCCTTTCTAATGCTCTGCCAGGTCTTTACTGCAGCAGCTCTGCTGTGTGTTTGTGGGTCTTTCTGTCCAAAGTCTTCGATAGTTAAATGCTTAATTGGGTTAAGATCAGCTGACTGATTTGGCCATTTGAGAATATTCCCCTTCTTTGCTTTAATAAACTCCTGGGTTTGTTTGGCTGTGTGTTTTTGGGTCATTGTCCATCTGTATTATGAAACGCCCCCCAATCAATTTGACTGGCGTTGGCTGCATTTGAGCAGACAGTTTGTCTCTGAACACGTCAGAATTAGTTTGGCTGCTTCTGTCTGTGTCACATCTATAAACACCAGTGTCCCAGCACCACTGGCAGCACCCCCAAGCCATCAGTCTCCACTGTGCTAACAGATGTGATGGCTTTGGGTCATGAGCTGTTCCACACCTTCTCCGTGCTTTTTTTTTTTCTTGCCATCGTTCTGGTAGAGGTGGATGTTGGTTTCATCTGTCCAAAGAATGCTTTTCCAGAACTCTGCTGGCTGTTTAGGTGTGCTCTCTTTTGTTCGCTTTCTTTTCTTTTTTCTTTTTTTGCAAGCTCCAGTCTAGATTTTTTGTTCTTGAGACTTATGAGCGGCCTGCACCTTGCAGTAAGCTCTCTGTATTTACTTTCATGTACCGTAGTCTTCTATGGTAGACTTGGATAAGCCCACCTCCTGGAGAATGTTGCTTGGTTGTGAAGGGTTTCTCATCACCATGGAAATGATTCTGCGATCATCCACCACTGTTGTCGTGGACGTCCAGGTCTTTTTGAGTTGCTGAGTTCACCAGTGCTTGCTTTCTTTCTCAGGATGCACCAAACTGTAGATTTTGCCGCTCCTAACAGTGTGAGTGTTTTCTCTTTCCGCAGTTTAAGGGTGGCTTGTTTCACAGAGAGCTCATTTGACCACATGATGTCTGCTCACAGCAAAATCTGCCAAATGCAAGCACGACTCCTCAAATCAACTCCAGGTCTTTTATCCGCTTGATAATGACAGAACGAAGGAACTGCCCACACCTGCCCATGAAATGGCCTTCGTCAGTTGTCCAATTACTTTTGGTCCCTTTAAAAAGAGGGTGGCACATGTTAAGGAGCTGAAACTCCTAAAACCTTCATCCAGTTTGAATGTGGATAACCTCAAATGACACTGTCCATATTCATAATGTAACTATAACTAGAATGTTTCAGTAAACAGGTAAAATAAGTATTAATCACATCTGCAATTTTCTAAGTACATATATTTCTAAAGGTGTTACTACAGATGTTGGTAACAGCCCATCCAATCCATGCATGCAAAGAAATCAAGCATAGCTCTCTATAATGTTAATATTATGTTAAATAATGAGAAATGACACAGGGGAGCATTGAAAACATGAAGAAAGGCATGAAACCAGCTGAAATCTATCAGTCATTAGAAAGCAATCATTCAGTGCACGTCTTGTTGTTGTCAGCAACAGTAGTTACTGAAGGTAAACATGAGCACTGGGGTGCTAATCTGCAAGTGGAAAGAACGTGATTTCACTATAAACCATAATAATGTATTTATTGTTTTTGAGCTCAGTATTTAGTGGAGGGAGATGTTATAAGACGCTGGTGTATTTGTCCTGCAGTGGAAGAATAAAACGTTGTCTTCACCTGGTATGTCCTGTTTCAGTTTCCTTCCCTGAAGAAAAAGTTTGACTTCAAAGCACATGAAGGAGAGATCGAAGACTTGGATATAAGTCCTGGGAACAAGGTCAGTGTCAATATTTAATGACACAACTTGCACCACTAGCTACTTGATGAGGTGAACCTGTTCATCTGCTCATTAATGCAAATGTCTTATCAGCCAATCACATGGGAGCAAGCCAGTTTAGTTTTATATAGCACCAAATCACAACAAGTTATATCAAATCACTGTAAGGTATGTAAAGTACCCTACAATACAAAGAAAACCCCAACAGTCATATGACCCCGTATGAACAAGCATTTTGGCAACAGTTGAGAGGAAAAACTCCTTTTTAACAGGAAAAAGAGAGCCAGAGATTAATAATGACTAATAATTGAATCCAGAGTGATGGATAACCACAGAGTGAGTCTAAAGGTGAGTGAAGAAGCAACACCCAGTGCATCATGGGAATCCCCCACCAGCCTGCGTCTATTGCAGCATCACTAAGGGAGGATTCAGGGTCACCTGGTCCAGCCCTAACTATATGCTTTAGCAAAAAGGAAAGTTT